CTGCATCCCCACAGCTGAGATACAAGCCTCACCCACGACACAGATCTAGGACTCTGCTCTTCAAAGTGCTGCACTTGGACCAGTAGCATCACTTGGGAGCTTGTTAGCAATGCAGAATCTCACCCTGGACCCACTGATTAAGAACTGGCATTTAAAAAAGCTTCCTAGGTGGTTTCTAAGCACACGAAAGTTTGAGAAACACTGATCTGGGGTGTGAACCATAGTGGATGCAGATTATCTGAATTGCTATTTCAGCGTGTTAATCGCCTTTCTGCATTAACCACAACGTTTGATCCCTGTGAGCAATCTCTGTCATGGAGCTTTTCACCTTCCTCTCCCTTCCCAGCTTCATTCAATAGCGACTTTTTCACTGATTTGTCAGAGCATTTAGGAACCAGGAAATCCTTTAGGTTTCGGGGGCAGTCCTTTGCCCGGCCCCAAATAGAAGGCACTGTTGGGCCCACCGCTATACAGGTCAGGCCCGCCTTTGCAGCTCAAAGGATGAGGGATGTTTTCTTCATTTGCTAAACCTGAGCCTTACACTCTTCTTTTTTCCTCTCCACTTTGGACTTGAATACAGCACAGCTGCCTGGATGACAACTGTCTGCCTCTGTGGGGAGACAGGCTGAAGACATCAGCTGCTGTGCACCCAGAGAAGCCCCTTTCAATTTATTGCTTAAAAAAAATTTCTGGGGGCTGGTTCCGTGGCCGAGTGGTTAAGTTCGCACGCTTGCTGCGGCGGCCCAGGGTTCAGATCCTGGGCGTGGACATGGCACCGCTCATCAGGCCACGTTGAGGCGGCGTCCCACATCCCACAACTAGAAGAACCTGCAACTAAGATATACAACTATGTACAGGGGGGGTTTGGGGAGATAAAGCAGAAAAAAAAAAATTTCTGTCTTATTCTTAAGAGCAAAGAGATCCAGAGAAGGGGAATTCAGTCCTTTAGGGTAGTGATAGAGGGGCACTGGGCCTTTGACAAAGCAGAGACTTCAAGTAATTCTTTAATATAATGCTTGGTGAAAATAGGAGGTCAAGTTGTCCTTGGTGCTGTCGACCGATTATAATAGATCATTTTTAAGTCTTTAAAAAATTCTGTGATTTAGAGGTGCGGCAGAGCAGGAGAGCTCCCCAGACCCCCACTTCATCTCTCCTCCTCCCATCTCAGGCCTGAGTAGAAGGCCACAGAAAAGACTTTGAGCTGTGAGTGCAGGCCCCGTGACGGCCTGGGAGAATGCCGGTTGGCTCCTGGGGCTGCTGAGAATAGTGCTCAGATGGCTCAGATGGAGAAGGCTAGAAACCTCTGGAAGGGGGGAGTCTGGGTAATTTGACTGTTGCCTCTCACAGCTTCACAGGGATGGAATGATTAAAGCGTGCTTCTTGGGGAAGGAATCTCCTCTGGGAAAGATAAAAAAAGGATACAGGGTTGAGAGAAGACTTAGTTATCATGTGTGCTAAGAATTATTTATTGCCTTGGTTATAAAACTAATACATGCTCATTACAGAGAATTTGGAAAACATAGGAAAAAGGTCCACAGAGAGAAATAAAAGTTGCCTGTAATCCCACTAGGCAGAATAATTATTTATATTGGATTATATTTTCTTTCAGGTATACGCATTTTTTTTTCACTGAACATCATTCACAATCATTAGTAAATATTGTTAAAAATATGATTTTAATGATTGCTCCATATGAATGTGCTCAGTCTTACTTACGTAAGATTATTAAGTTGACCATTTCGCCTATTTCTAATTTCCAGCTATTAAAAATAACTCTGTTATGAATATTCTCTAACATAAATCTTTGACCATCTGTGATTATCTCCCCAGGCTAAACTCCTAGAAGTGGGAATACAGAATGAAAGTTCTGATTATTTTTAAAATTTCTGATATATATAGTGCTGATTTGCCCTCTGGAAAGATTGCTTCCGATTTGCAACTCCAACTGCTGAATTTGTTAGTACCTATTGCAGCTTTATTAGATGAAGTAGTCGCTATGCTTTCATTTATAAATAATAATAACAGCTAATTCAGACTGAAACAGAAGGGAGATTTATGGGCTCATGTAACCGGAAGGACACGGCTTCACTGCTTCCTCTCTACGTAGTTGCATTTCTCGCCTGAGTCTGATTTCCTTGCCGTTACAAGATGGCTGGCAGCCAAGTGCTTCTTTTTTTATATCTAGAGGAGAAAGAGGATTCAGTCCCACAGCTGTTGATAAAAGCCATTCCGATTGGCCAGGTTAGGCTAGATCACCAAGCACTAGGGCTGGGGGGCCCGTGACTGTGATGTAACTACCACTCAGGGAGCACCCTAGGAGCAGAGTGAGGGTCAGGCCCACCTTTGCCATATTGTTGCTCACAACAGCAAAGGTATGTAATGAGCCACCACAAGTCATTACATCCTGTACAGTATTGTCAGTTTCAAAACTTTACCAACCTGGTAGGCAAAAACGGTATTCCATTGCTTTTTTACTTTGCATTTCTTTGATTACTATTGAGGTTTAATATATTTTTAAAATATTTATAGGTTGTTTGTATGTCTTCTTTAGTGAACTGCTTCTTCAGGCCCTGTTCTCAGTGAAATCCACCTCTTACAGATTGTAAAAATCCTACTTAGGAGCTTGAAGATGCAGAACAGTGAGTGGCTCTCATCCTGGTTGCACATTAAACACATCTAGGGTGTTGCAAAAAATTACGATGTCATAACGTCACCTCCAAAGATTCTGATTTAATTCACATGATGTATGTTTTAAAATCTCCCCTGAAGATTTCAAGCTGCTTCTAGGGTTGAGAAATGCTAACCCTTTGAAAAACCGTCCCTCAAACTTACCTATCTCTCTGTCACAGCCAACCTAAACTTTGCTTCTTTTATAGATTACTCTGGAATCACAAAAGATATCAGAAATAGCTTTAGTAAAGTGAAGCACTTATTCAAACACTGGAAAAAAACAGAATGAGATGAATATTCATGACCACTTAGTATACATAAGTCAAGCAATCAGCTGCTTCTCCAGCAGGGTCGCTGCCCCAGAGCTTAGGTTTGCTGGAATTGTTATTGGCCCCTTCCTTTCTTTATTCTGATTAAAAGAAAAAGGCAAAGATGTCCCTAAGAAACCCAACCCAGGAACAGTACATTTGTAAACAGGGAGCTAAACAGGAACGTGTTCCTGTTGAAAAGCAGAAAAATATTTACTTCTACCTTTGTTGTTTATGGCATTGTAGCTGTACTACAGAAACAAATGGTGTTATGCTTGCTTTATTCCCACTTCTAAAGAGCCCAAGGAAATGTGAGCAGACGTTTCTTTTAACAAATGACAGTGCTTCTACTGAGCAGCGATTCTGCATGCATCTGCCTTCTCCAGGTTTGGGGAATAGAAGGGTTCTTGCTATTCCCAGGATGTGTTAAGTCAATGAAATCAAATGAGAAACTTTGTTCCTTCCATCGCTGTACTGACAAATTGGTTGGATTTCTTTTTTTTAACAATCAAACACACGTCACTGCTTCAAGTCATCAATCAGGAGAAATTGCTTTGTAAATGTTCCTTTTCTTGGCCGTAACTAAGATGTGCTTCCTCCTTTGGTGTTTAGGGGGGCTATTAAGACCTTTGAATACTAAGAGGAAAGCTAGCATTCTGTCCCAAGGGTTCCTGCCATTGCCTCTAAATATGTATTTGATACATCATCACATGTTCTTAAAATCTCACTTTGTACATCCATCATTGATTGATCATCTTTAATTATCTCATTCAGTCTTCTTGCAGATGTATCCATAAGCTGTTTGCTAATGTTTTATTTATCAAATTATAAAAATATTTAGTATTTTAAACAAACACATAAACACCATCTGTGTAAAATGGTTGCCACTATTGCTAGTGAAGTAAGCAGCACTGAGGCATGGTAGACTTGCTGGCGTTTGACAAGGACTATTGTTGTCCTCAAGAAAAATGACAAGTGAGTGTGTTGTAAAGGAAGACAAGACACGCACGGGGTATTTAGAAACCCTCCCTTGTGTAAGACAGAACCTTGTACTTTATACATTTTTACTCAAACTGGTATACCTGCCTGTCCAAAAGATGTAATGGAAATGCCTAAAGGACTTTATTATTCTAGCAGCCTAATTTGACCTACCAAGCCCAGAGCAGTAATCAGTTAGCTAAAGGAAGTCTTCTTTTCTCTTTTGCCTCTTTGAGAGTTAATGATACAAAAATGCAGATTTTTGAAAAATATAATCAGTCCCCAAGGAGGTTGCTCCCATCTTCACAATTTGCAAATCCAGCAAAGTGTAGCAAACTGTGCAGTTTCACAATGAGGGAAAAATCCAAACCCTCAAAGAGGCAACATAGTTTATTACGGTCTGAAAATTCAAATGTCACAGCCTTGGAAAAGATATGGCTGAGGTTTTTCTTGTCTGGCAGACAAGAAGAAAAGGTAGGCAGTAGCCCAGGAGATAGTCAACCCATATTTTCTTAAAGTGGAAGGCAGGAACAAGCAAATTTCTAGAATAAGCCAGTGTAACTATGACCCAAAAGACACTGCATGGCCCCTCAGGCAGATTTTGGAGGCACTTCTTCTCCTACCCCACCTTTCTAGATAGATGCCGCCCCCTTCTCCTATATGCCCCATCCTCTTTTAGGTAGAGGAGTAGAGCAGAAAGAGCAAGGGTTTACAAACCAAAGAGAACTTGCTTCGAATCTCCATCACAAACATAGCATATGACCTTGAGCAAGTTAGTGACCTTTTTAGACTCAGTTTCCTCAATAGCAAAATGGGCCTAAAAAAAGTAGCGGCTCAAACGATATACATGAAGCAAGGATGGAAGGGAGAGAGGGAAGGAGAGAGAAAAAGAGAGGCAGGAAAGAGCTGAGAGGAGAGGGAGGGAATAGAGAGAGGGAGGAAGATGGATGTTATCTGTAGGATCAAATAATTTCTCAACCAACCTTAGCTCCCTATCTGTTCCCTTTTTCTTCAGCCTCTCTCAGCCCCTCTCCCTTTATCCTCTCCTCAGGGCACTGACAACACTCCGTCAAAGCTCTCCCACAGGAAGGACTTCTGATGGGCGTGGCTGGGTAACTCATTCATAGCACAGCACGAAGATGAGAGGTGACCCTGCGTCTATTGGAATCAGGTTAACTTTACCAGTGGCTGTCTTCATTGTAGGGAAGGTTGAATATCAAAATTTTGTTGGGGAAACCTACTGGTAGTCCATCTGCTATTGTTAGGCTTTTATTTATTGCCCCTCACCCCCAGACCAACTAAAACATATTTTAAAATTAGCATCATTGTGCTCTATTGAAGAAGAAAAGTAAGACATAAAACAAAACAAATAAAAGACTTCAGGGTTTTATCTGAGAGGGATGGGCAGCAGGGAAAATAAGCATAATAAAGGGTAATAACTAGCATTGATTGAACACTTACTAAGTGTCATTTAGTTTGGTAAGTGATTTATATATTTATGTTATTTAATCATTATAACAACTTCACAAGGTAAGAATGATTATAGATCTTGTCCTTTAAACAGAGGCAATGGTGGCACAGAGAGATCAAGGAATGTCCTCAATTAGACCTTGAGCTAGAAAATGTGGAGCTGGAATTGAAACCTAGACACTCTGATTCCAGAATTCTTGAGCTTAATCTTTATGCTGAGAGCAGGCACGAGCTTGGAGTTGGACAGATATGGGTTCAAGCATTGGCCCTGCCATATAAAGGCTGAGTGGCATTGACGATGCTACTTCAATTTTGTGAATCTTCATTTCTAAACCCTTAGCATGAGACTTGACATAGGGTAACCTTTCAATAAATGTTAGCTGTGAATAGTTTAATTTTATAATGGAAGTAACAGAAATGGCAACATTACTTTGTTTTAATTTGCTAATTTTTGCATATTCATCATAACATAGGTGCAACTGACACTGACACAACTGTTTGTATTTCCTTCGAAGCATTAATTCTTAGTATGGAAAAAATGAATTATATTCTGAAAATGTCTCATGCATTAGGATGAAATGGTTTCTGCTGTTATGATAAACTCCTGAATAGGATTTAAAAATCATCCTGGAGAGTAGTGAACTGTGTACAATAACAAATTGCTGCCTTATTATCCTGCTTTCTTAAGACTATCTAATCCTTGTTGCTTTGTCTAGGTCATTAAGAAACTATATCTGAAGGGCTCAAACGAAAGCAATGTTGTGGAAAAAATTAAAGTTCAAAATTCAGATACTAAGATTCTTTTTGCTCACAGACTTGAAGCAAATACGTGCTTTGGCTTTCCATGTTGGAAATACTTTAATATACAGAGGCAACCCTTGAGTTTTCTTTGAAAAGGGATAGGCTACAAAATAATAGCTCCATGAAGAAGCAACCTTAAAATGGTGCCAATTCTATCAAATCTAGTTTCATAACTGTGTACTCTTTATTGGCTTTGAGTTAGCAGGTTGAGTAAAATGAGGGAAACAATTTAAGCACCTTTTCTTCCTTTTAATGATATGTTGAAAAGTGTTCCCAGTTCTCCTAAATACCCCCAATCATCATGCATGAATAGTGTTTCAACTCTGTCATTGGGAGTATTTCCTAAGATGTTCTGATCAACGTATATTGTTCACACCAAATAATTCTAAAGAGCTCTCAGTAATTTTGATCTTTATCAAAAAGCCCTGTGGCTGGGGAAAAACTAAGACTTCCAGGAGTGAAAAAAAGGTAAAGAGAGCAGTGAAAGGGAATACATGGTGGAGTCTTTCTCTAATTGCTAGCCCCAAACCAGTCTCTTTAAAGCTCCCATAACTGCAAAGAAGAGAGCAAAGAACCTCTCTTTTCTCCCAAACCATGTGGAAACTAAAGAGATTCTTTCTCTGTAAAAATTCTCATGGTTTCAAGCCTGCTCTGTTTTGTCTTACAATATTTGAAACAAACCAAAAAGGAAGAAGAGGAGGAGATGATAATGATACTGGATCTCTTTTCCACTTGCAGCAAAGTAAACACTCCTAAGTCATTTTTTGATACCAAAAATAGAAGGTAGCAATAGAAGAGAAGAGGGTGAGAATGCATATGAGAGAGAGGGTGGGAGAGGAGAGAGAGAGAGGCAGGGGAAATAGAGATACCAGGAGAAGGGGAGAGGGAGAGACTGGCCAAAAGGATAATCGTAGTTGAAATCCCTTCCTATCCTGCCTAATGGTTGTTTTCAGAGGCTATTCTATCCCACACATGAAATAAGCCTCCAAAAGGCCACCCTTTGTGATACCTGCCAAGACAGCCCTGGGCCAGCTCAGAAACTGGTTACCTGCAGAGTAGTGTACTGCCCAGAAAATCAAGGTGATAGACTCTAGGTGTGTTATTTCTGGAATAGAAGCTTATTTTAGAGAGAAAATTTAAGTGTCAATGATTATTTTCTATTTGCAAACAAGGCAAATGTATGATGGACACTTGTCTTCAGAAGCAGAATTAGAGGTACTAAGAAGAAAGTCATCTCTTGTATTTATTAGAGAGTATTCGTGATGGCCAGACACACTTATGGGCAAAGACGTTGGATCCTGGGCTCCCCTAGAGGAGAGAGAGAGAGAGAAAGAGAAAAGTAAAGAGAGAGAAAGAGCGAGAGAGGGAGAGAGAGAAAGAGAGAGCGAGCGAGAGAGAGAGCAAACAACCATGTAAGCACTCCTCACCCAACAGACGTAGACTTGAAGAATTCATGGAGAAAAGTCTGGAAACTCCAATTTAAGGTTGAGGGAATTAGTTTGAATCAGAAATGAGTTGTCCAAGGTTAATGTTTATTGGCTGGCATAAACAGCAAAAAACCCTGGTTTCTCAATCAGGCCAGTTCTTTTTAAAATCACCATCCATTTCAGATCTGTGGCCCAATGTGTTCTTCTCCCCAAGCTTTTAATGCCTACCAGTGTCAAGAACATGTGAGTGTCCTGCCCCCATTGCTGAATCTTCCTAAGGCATCTCTGGATTGCCTCCTCCCGCCCCACAAGTACCCAGTTTGCTCAGTTCTTTTCTGTGTAATATTTTGAATCTTTGTAAATTGACATTTGGATGAAGATGGGAGGGTCTTTTGTGCTAACAAGCAAAATTACCGTAAGAAACACTACAACATCTTCTAGAAACTTGAATCTAGAACCCTCAAAATACCTCACCTTTTGTCTTTCAAATAGTAAAAGCCAAAATGTCTCCTTTTTACCAAGTAAACATCCTTGAAATCCCATCTCCTCTATATTAGGAAGATGATTGATTATTTCTTCCTGTCTCTACCCTTTAAATCTGTAACTCCATAACCACCTCTTCACTGATTACCTCACTGCATCACTCAAACATTCCTGTTTTATTGTGTATGGACCTGCTCATGGCACGGTCTATTACCTGCCCCCTTCACCAGAACAGAGGAAAAGCTGCTGCAGCTCTTTACCTTCAGATTCAGAAATTGTTCCCGCTTGCTCCCTTTTGCCTTCCTAGGGGATTTCATACACTGATTTTCCCAACTAGTAACTTATCTCTCATAGGTACCAAAGATACCACAAACAAAAAATAAGTGTTCTCCATGCCTTTTAGCTCAAGGGAGAAGATAGATCCTTGCTACTCAAACTGTAGTCGTAACAGCTAGTAGCATCAATATCACCTGGCATGTTAGAAATAGAGAATCTCAGATGCCATCTCAGGCTACTGAATCAGAGTCTGCATTTTAATGAGCTTTCTGAGTGATTCAAACGCACATGAAAGTTTGGTAAGCACTGAAATCAACACAAGATAAGTAAGTAGAATGCAGGGTTGTCTTTACCATTATTGGAGCAATAAAATGTGTTGGATATAGAAGCACTTAACCTGGATTTGATGGGTCAAGGAGGACTGTTGAAGCTGAAATCTGAAAGACCATGTCTGTGTGCATGTGTGTTGGGGAGAGGTGGTTTTGAAGTGTGGAGTTATCAGTCAGAATAGGTCAGGTGCTGCTGCAGTAACAAACATCCCAAACGCTCAGTGGCTTGAAAATAGCAAAGATTTCTTTCCCACCCATTGTACTTGTTTATTGTGGATCAGACCCAGAGGCCCAATTGAAGGGAAACTCTGACTCTGCTTCCATGTTCACTGAGACAGAAGAAAGAGGATACAATAATTTGTATACTGGCTTTTAATCATCAGCCCAGAAGTGGTGCAAATCACTTCTGCTCAAATATCATTAGTCAAAAAGATTGACATGGCTACCCCTAATTATAAGAGGGCAAGCAAATGCAACCTTGCTCTGCCTGGATGGAGAAAGTGCCAGAATGTTGGCCAAAAATCTCTTATGACTGCTATGAAGGAAACAGCCATTAGGGAAGTGTTCCAGGGAAAGAGAATGGCATGTGCAAAGTCTCAGAGACAAGACATAGCAAAGACTGCTCTAGGCTCTGATAGGAGATCTGAATAACTAGAGCATGGGGTTCAAGAGAAGAAGTGTGAAAGATAAAGCTTGAGAGGTAAGGCAGGGGAAGATCCCTCTGAGTCTTGTAAGCTATATTAAATAACTTGGAATTTTATCCTAAAAGCCATGAGGAACCATTGGAAGATTTAAGCATTTGCAGCTATGCAATGAGGTCAGCATTTGAGAGGATCACTCTGGTGAATAGTCTGGAAGGAAACAAGAATAAATGCATTAATTAATTTACAATACTACTTGTAAAGCACTGTGTTGGGTTGATGAAGAAACGAAAACAGATCAGATCCCTGACTTTGGAGCTTGAAATACAGTGGATGCAGGCAGAGTAGTTAGAAGACTATTGCAGTATCCAGGCAAGCAATGACAGTGTCCTGGATGTGGGAGATCAGAATTGGCCACCCCAAAGTGTGTCTCTTTGGCATGAGGATTATTTTGGGCTGGTTACTTTTAAGAAATTGAAGATGGAGAAGAAGTTCTGAAAACTAGAAGTTACCCTTTGTAAGAGACATTTACATTTGTAAGGAAAATCTCTATTTGTAAAGATATCTCCCTCTCTGTACCCAGAAGAAGAGGGAATGATCTTATTTCTACAGACTCTCATCAATGTGGAAGGCAAGGACGTAAATCTGCATAATAACCTTACTCTTGTTTACTGTGCTTTTCTGGTAATCTCCCATAAGGACTCCCCCTCTCCCAACATCCTGCTTTGTCTTTAGCTGAAGATGGTATTTAAGGTAACAGCCTCAGCCATTTTGGTGAGTTCCTCAGTTTTCCTGAGTCTCTCCCATGTATACATGTTATAAAGCTTTGTTTGATTTTCTCCTGTTATTCTGTCTCACGTCAATTTAATTCATAGCTCAGCCAGAAAGACCTAGAGTGGGTAGAGGATTTGTCTTCCTCCCCTACACGGACTGAGGTATTAAGGTATCGGAGATGGGGATAGAAAGAAGTGGATGTATTTGAGAAAGTGTTGTTCAGTGTGGGTGGTGAAAGAAGGGGAGAATTCCATAAAAAGATTCTTTCTCTGATTTAGACCACAGAGTGGATGGTGATGTCATTTACTAAGATGGGGAATATTGTTGAAGGAGCAGATGTGGCAGGGAGGAAGTTAGATGAATTCCATTTTGGCCCAATGTTTGAACTTTTAACTAGGTGCTTATTTTCTGTTTGTTTTTATCCGTTGGATTTGATAATGATTTTATTTAAGTATTTGGTATATGCTTTTTAGTTAACCTCTTGGATCAGGTGATGGGCATTTGAAGTGTTCTCTGGCTTGGACCCTGACACTCTCCAGACTCTGCCTTTGGTTGCCCTAAGCTCATTTCTTCCCACAAGTTTCTGTCAAGGGGAAGATGGAGAGATTTGTAAGGCACTGGCGTCATCTCACACAGAGAAGAGGAGGAGACCATTCAGATAACTTCTAGTGTTCATTCAGTTCAGAGGCTATTATGGACTAAATGTTTGTGTACCCTCAAAGTTCACATGTTGAAATCCTAACCCCCAATGTGATGGTATTAGGAAGTGGGGCCTTTGGGAGGTGATTAAGTCATGAAGGTGGAGCCCTCATGAATGGGAGTAGTGGCCTTCTCAAAGAGACCCTAGAGAGCTCCTTCACCCTTTCCACCATGTGAGGACACAGCAAGAAGATGCCCATCTATGAATCACAAAGCGGGTCCTCACCAGACATTGAATCTGCTGACATCTTTATCTTGGAGTTCCCAGCCTCCAGAACTGTGAGAAATAAATTTCTATTGTTTAGAAGCCACCCAGTCCATGATATTTTGTTGTAGCAGCTCAAATTAAGACAGGACTTTATGCCATCTACCTTATTCATGGGAATTTATATTCTATTGTACAGTGTTAAAAGCTAAGAGTCACAGCAATATTCTAATTGGCGAGGATGTGGAGTTGGCAAGGATGTGGAGTTATGGAAACTTTTCTTCAGTGCTCTTGGGAGTTTAAATCACATACAGACCCTCTGACATGGTTAATCCACTCCTAGGTACACGCCCTAGAGAAACTTAGGCACATGTGCCCAGGACTCATGAACAGGAATATATGTATTGCAGAATTGTCATAATTAAGATGCGAAAAATCCAAATATCCAGAAAAAGTAGAATGTATAAATAACATTTGTATATTCACAAAACAGTATACCTACAGTAATGAACATAGCCAAATCATAGCTGTGGTCAACAATATAGATGGCTCTCACCAACACAATGATGAGTGAAAGAAGCAAGACATGAAAGAATACATAATGTGATTCTATTTAAGTAAGGTTCAAAATAGGCAAAGCTGCCATATTGTTTAGGAATGCATACATGGTAGAAAATCATAAAGAAAAGAAGGAATATAATTATCAAAAAAGTCAAGATAGTCATTGCCTCTGGGAGAAAGATTGGAGTTAGGACGAGGGAGAAGCACCCGAGTGTTGGGAGCTTCTAGATAGCTGTCGATGCTTTGTTTATTTTGTTTTTAAATTTTGATTCTGAACTCAAAGTTTAAATCCTTCTTTAATGCGGGTCCTAGAATCTATATTCATCAACAAAGGAGGTTTGTACTGGTCGGTTTAGCTAGAGAAAAGTGGACAAAGGAATTGGGTGATGTTGGATTACAGCAACCAGTGAGAAGACATACATGCGGGGGATCCTTTGACTGGCTTTGTTCTAGGTTCTGGCACACTGCTGAGCCTGGAATCCAAGGGTCACATCCTTCCTCCCCTCCCCCCAATTCTACCTAGATAGGGCATCCTATAATTTCAGTCTTTTCTTTTAATTTGGTTCTCAGCCACAGAGGTTTTCAAGGGGGTCTTCCTTTCATCAGAGGGTGGAACATGCCTGAGTCACCTTCTGTACCATGTTTATGTAGAGTGATGGTTTTCCAAAGGACTTTGTCTGGATTATGATTGCATGCATTTCTTCTTTGCTTTTATTACATTTCTTTTGTTTTCTGATTAATATATGTGAGATTTATATGGATTAACTTATAAAGGCCACTAAGACATAACACTGAATTTTAAAAAAGCAAATTGTACATATGCATAGAATAATGTCATTTATATTTTAGTTGTATATTTCTATATGACTGTATTTGTGAGCCAATGTGGAGAAAAAAGGCCTAGGAAGATATATACTAATGGTTCTCAACTCGGGGGTGATTTTGTTCCCCAGAGGACATTTGACAAAGTATGGAGACATGTTTGGTTGTGGGTGCTACTGGCATCTAGAGGATAGAGGCCAAGGATGCTATGAAATATCCTACAGTATAAAGAACAGCATACCTCCCCACCCCCAAAAAGAGTTATACTGCCCAAAATGTCCATAGTGCCCCTGTTACGAAATCAAGCTACTATCAAAATAATGTAATAATGTTGATCTCTGGGGAGTAGACTGAAATGGTAAGACATCTTAAGGGTAATTCAGCTCTATCCATAGAGTTTGAGTTGTAAATAAGACACTTCTTGTATTCTATAAAATATTAATAAACATAAGAAAGTTTCAATGTAATATGTATCTAATCCAAAAAAACAGAAAATACAAAAAAAGTTAAAAAGAAAGAAATTAAAACTACTCAAAAGCCACCATCCAGAGATATCTGGCATATTTCTTTCTAATCATTTTTCCTATGTGTATATCTGTGCACATATAGAATTATTTTTTTAAATGATGCTTATACTGTACCTAAAATTTAACATATTTTTCCACCTGTAATATATTATGAACATTTCCCCATGTCAACAAATATTCTTTAAAAACAGAATTTTAAGTGACTGTAAAGCATTCACTCTCCATGGAGGAATCAGAGACGTATTTCCAAAATAAATTGAGAAATATTTCTAATAAGGCAGTGTTTATCTGTTTGGAATGTGTTCAAGTGCAGACAAATTTCTGAAGCAAGAGGCTTATTGGGAGAATAAGCCATAGTAATAAACACCAGCTTCAGATTTCAGTCAGATGACAACCTCTTTCCATTTTCAACACTGAAGAAAATTAACAGAAATTAATAGATAGCACACACACTTGAAAATCGAAATTTGAGAGCTGGATGCTAACTTAGAAAAGATATTACTTAATAATATTGCTACAGCAAGAAGCCTGCTAAAATACAAGTAATTGCCACTTGTGGTTTAATTATTCCATTTTCTCAAGAACGTAGTTTGGAGCTCAAGTATGCATATTAGGTAGCGATTAACCTTCAATAGCAATGTAGAGGACACAAATAGCTTGTTTAAGCATCTCTCTCCTTGAAATGCCACTAAAATGAATTAAATTCCAATTTCTATTCACAGATTAGAGCAAATTGCTCATTATTGTCAGGCGGATGGAGACCTTGTGACAAATGGGAGGACACTGGAGTTAGAAATGACTGCCTGCAAGAAGGTTTGTGACAGTGAAAAGATGAGGAAGGCGAAAGAGCAAAGGCCCTCAGTGGCTGGCAGGCTCCCTGCCTTCCCCCAGCTCAGCTTTCCCTCGCTTTGACAAGCCTGTTAGTTCAGCTCTGGCTGGCTTGAAAATTCTTCGAGATCTCAACCAGATTCTCATTGCCCTACCTCTGCCCCGTGCACTTGAACTTACATGCTTTCAGAATAGCAGGAGAGTTCGGTGGAACAATTGGAATTAGTTTTCTAAAGGGCCATCCATTCAAAAGATATGTTTCTCCTTTCTGGCAACAAAGTGATGAGGTCATGATTCTGAGATGAGGCAAAACTGTGAAGACAGCTGTGTTTCTCTGTGGCTAAAGGTGGGGACTCTGGAATCAGAATGCCCACTGGTTAGTGGTGTAACTTTGCGGATGTCACCTAACCGCTCTATACCTTAGCTTCCTCCACCTGCCCAAAGGTCAGAGTGCTAATATCTATTTCTTATGATAGTTTGAAGATTCGAAGAGATAATATACACACAGCAGTGTGCTGGGCATAGGTACAGCCTCAGTCTCAGGAAGCGGCATAGATCTCCGTTCTCACTTCCCCGTCTCCAAAGGACCGATACGTCTACTCCCATTGAGATAGGGCTATCATAAGTGCAGAGGAGGGTTCAGAGGGAGTGTAAAGAGGAGACTGAGGGCATTTGGGAAGGCATTGTGGAGAACACTCTTCCATCACGGCCCGTTAGCCTCTCTCTAGTCTGCTCAGCCTCATGCTCCTCTCGGTTGACCTGTTTCTGAGTTGCTCTGCTTTCAGCATGCTGGCTCGGCTCATTTATCTTTTCCTTCTGGTTTAGGAAAGGGAAGAATCGCTTCCTGACACAGTGCTTCAAGGGGAATTGTCATTTACACACTGATTCATTCATTCATTCATTCAATTGTTCCAAAAATATTTATTGGATACCTGCTCTCTGGGCTACAATAATGACATAAGGAGATGAGTAAAATGCAGACTGTATTCTGAGCAGGCTCAGGGTTTATTGAAATAGGGAGATATTTCAATAGAATGAAGAAGACTGTTACCAAGCAAAACAAAACAAAACAAAACAAAAAAATCACTGACCTCTTTCTCTATATAGCCTTTTTCGGCTTCCTTTTTAAAAAACATCTGCCTCGTCTCCCAGCTGCTGGTAGAGGCAGAACATCAACATTCAACATAAAAAGCTGTGGCTTACAGTCAAATTGTGGAACATCTAGCAGAAAATCCTTTTGGAGTTCTTAAAGCGAGTAACTCTTTTCCTGCCCCAGTCTCTCAGAATGCACTGGCATTCGCTCCTAGTGAGCCCCCTCCCCATTTTTATGTTGAAAGGAAAATATGTCAACTTTAAGGAAAAATTTGTGAAGTTTGAACGGGATCTAATTCCAATGTTCGGAAGTATTAATTTCTAGACAAAATTCTCCATAAGGTTATCATGATAAATTCCCTAATTCTATTACGTTTGACTGCATTTTTGGTTGTATGGCCTATTTTGTCTTAAGGTTGAGATCGTTTCTCATTGGTCTGAGTTAAAATGATTCCTTTCTCCCTTATCCATGGAGCTTTGTCACAGGGGCTATGACTTGGAGGCTTGACAGAAGTGGTAAACACCAGAATGGCATCTAGCGAAATATCATGAATGAGTTCTACTCCACTGACACTCTCAGACCAGTACCTCCCCTAACAGTGTGGTGACTCAGACAGAGTCAGACATGGCATGTACTTAAAGAATGTTATTTGAGAACAGCACCAACATATAGGCCTAAGAAGGACAAAAGTTCTTTGCCAACAACTTGCTCTTAGGGTAAGTAGACAACCCTCCAGGGGAACAATAAATAAAAGCGATGCGCACTTCTGACTTGGGAGTCTGCTCTTGCCTTGCCTCCTTCTCCAGCTTCCAAATGGATTGCCCAATGCATAGTCTATGCAAAGTAACCACTAGATGCAGCCTAGTCAGCCAATCAGTTTGGCCTTCTAATGATTACAGTGCCTGACAAATGTAATGACTTCTTTGGTCCTTGTGCTCAGATCTCTCAGATTACCATATCAGGAGCCCTTTAGCCTTCATCTGCGGGCAGAGCTTTTCTCTAGGCTCTGGAACCAATTATTTTCCTGAGTTTTAGGAAATCCAAGAATTCCTAGGTTCTACATCTTTCATTTGGTCTGGCCCCATCTCTGACCTTTGTTGCAGGCCTAATGGATGTGTTCTCACCTTGTTCTTGATGCCCAAACTTTTTGTATTATACACTGATTCCAGTAATTGGATCTCTACTTTGTATCTTGACCCATCCAGGTTCCTTTGGGACTGGGCTTCTCCCTTGCGTTGGAAAATCTTCCTAAACATAAGGCTCAGGGTTCTGAGTGCTAATCCCCATACTTGGTAGCTGAAACCCAAAGCTAGACCCCTGCATGCAGCCTTCGCTAGTCTTGGGGATGCCTACCTGCAGCCCTTAGCTGGCATTACTGATAACTCTACCTAATATATGCTCTGCTTTGGACTAGAACCCTTTGCTCAGTCTTCCTAAACACTCCACCTGTCCATTTTTTTTCTGCTTCTCTAATACTGGTACCACCTCACATGATCTGAAATTTGTTCATTCAAAAAATACTCATTGGGCACCTATGGTAGGCACTTTGGACACAATGGTGTGCAAGACAGAGGACATCATCTTCACAGTGCTTCTCATCTAGTGAGGTATGCAGATAAGGAGAGGGTCAATTACAACAATGTGGAAATGCTGTAGTAGGGGAATGTTGGGTGCTGTGGAAGCATTTGGGGAAAGACTGACACGAACTGTGGAGATAAGAGGAGACATCCTGGAGGAAGTGACATTTAAACCGACACAAGAAAGTTAAGCCAGACAACGGGGAAAGAAAGGGTAAGGAGATTATATCAGGCAGAAAAACTAGATTAGTTGAAGACCAGGGGATGAGAGAAAGAGAACATGGCAAATTTGAGAAGTTGAAACAATCTTGAGAAGCTGAGTGGTGAGAGAACAAGCTGGTTGGGGCCCAGATCATACAGGTAAGAAGTCTGATCTCTACCCTAATAGCAATGGAAAAGTCTCGAACAATTTTAGATAGGGAAGTGGCATGCCGTGTGGCAGTGCAGACTCTTAGTCCTGGGCCCCCTGATCTGGTCCATTCTGTTTACAACCAAAATCAGGATTCTGACAGGCAGTTATATCAATTACCATTGAAGGTTTTGTCAAAATGGACCAGAAAAGCTTCATTTATGTCATGTAGATATAGTCTCATTTCAATAGTTGATGTGGATGATTCCACTAAAAATAACTCCTTCATTTGATGACCGCAGGCAACTTTGGGTGCTGATAACTTCGCTATTCTTTCTAATGATTGTGAGGTGTATTTTGGTCAATCCATAACAGGCATTTTATTGTGGGAAATGAAGCCAGATTGTTCTCCAGATGCTATCCTAAGAAAGAAAACATTGAAGTTTTAATTAAAATGCAGCTTAGGTTATATTTCACTAAAACTTTGTAATAAGTATTTCCAATATCTAGAGAAAAAAAGACTATTGCTGATAATCTATGTCCACACCCTTCTAGTTATTCTTATGTTTATTTTTAAATGTTGAAAGAGAGAGCAAGTGAACTCGCCAGAATCCAATCACATCTTCTTTAAATGTGCAATATCCACTAATTAATTCTGAATAAATATTTCAAAAAAACCTGTTAATTCCTAGTTTATAAAGCTGACAGGGGGATTTTTTTTTTTCTCCTTCTGGAGAGAAAGCAAGCAAAACATTAGAGCTGACTCTAAGTAAGAAAGAGTTAATATAATGTATCAATAAGATGCTGCAGTCTGTAGTCTTGTAACTATCATCTTCTTTCTTGACTTTTCTATTCTTTCTTTGGGGCTGGAAGGGATGGGTGAGAGATGGACTGCTTCTTTCTTCTTAAATGGAAATGGGGATTGTGTTTTCTGCCCTAGGCCTTTGCCCTAACTTTAATCCTTATCTGCCCCATCACACGTATATACATACAGGTGCACGTGCAAGTGCATGCACACATGCAATCAACCAGATGCTAAATAGGTGACAACTCTGGGGGTTTTTTGTTGTTGTTTTTAATTACAGAGAAATTTAAACAATTTCATTTATCTTCTTTAAATTTTTAAAAAATGATTCAAGAAATATGAAATACAGGATATTCAAGAAACAATGCTATTCAAGAAATACAAAATTTCTTGTATACATACATATTTTTCTATTCTATATCACAGAAAATTAAAGAAGAAAAAGAAAGGGAATAAAGCAGAGAAAAAAATGAATATATATATACATGCATGTGTGTATTTACGTCTCTACTTGTGTATAACAAATATAGACAGATACTTGGGGAAAGAGAATACAGACAGAAGGACGCAAAGGGAGATCTACAGAGGCAAGTCCACAGTAAAGAAGAGAAGCAGAAATCTGGAAACCTACAGAGAGAGACAACAGCCTGGAGGCCTTTGATAGACTTTCCTCTTCACCTGGCCTGAAAGCATTAGAGCAGGTGAGCATCTCCTGTAACCACCCTTCAGTACACCAATGAACTCTCCACTACTTGGAAATTGTCCCTTTTCAGGGACAAAAATAATTTTTTCCAGTGTTTTTAAAAGCTTTATTGAGATATAATTGATATACAAAAATTTGCACACATTTAATGTATACATCTTGATGAATTTGGATATATGCATCCACCCATGATACCATCACCACCATCAAGGTACTAAAGGTATCCATCAACTCCAAAAATTTTCTTGTGTTCTTTTGAGTGTGTGTGTTAAGAACACTTCTCATGAGATCTAGCCCTCTTAATGTATTTTAATGTACACAGTGCCATATTGTTAACCATAGACATTATGGTGCACAGTAGTTTTCTAGAACTTATTCATCTTGCATAACTGAAACGTTAATACCTATTGAATAAGTCACCATTTCTCCCTCCCTCCAGTTCTGGCAGCCAGCACTCGGTTCTCCACGTCTATGAGTCTGAGCATTTTAGATACCTCATGTAAGTGGAACTGTGCAGTATTTGTCCTTCTGTGACTGTCTTATTTCACCTAGCATGATGTCCTCTAAGTTGATCCACTTGTTGTAAATGGAAGGATCTCCTTCCTTTTTAAGGCTGAATAATATTCCATTGTATGTATATACCACTTCAAAAATAATCATTTCTCTTTTCATTTACAAATTCCATATTTTTAATTGTTCTACATAAGAATTAAAATTATTTTGAGGCCAAGATCAACTCCAGAGGCCATAGTTTCCCCACTCCTGCTATCTCAGGCTCTTGAATGCACAGTGTTCCCCCAGCCCCACGTTTTGTTGTTGTTACTTTTGTTATTGTCTGAAGGCCACTGCCTACACTTCCTGGGCGGGTGCCCTCTGTGTGTAAGACCTGCATGGATAATCTGGCCACTTCATGCTTGTACCTCTTCAGAATCCCACATCTTGCTTTCCCTCTCTAGCTGCAGATGAAGATAAAGAGGCTAGATGTGGTCCTCAGTACTTACTATAGTGCCTGATCTGTGGTAGGCACCAAACAAATTAGGAGTACTAGATAAATTAGAAGCTGTACTTTTTGTTCTTACTACAAAACAAACAAATCAAGCAATATTCAAAAATCTCTGGTATTTACATTTCAAATCCTATTAGTTGTTGATGTTCTCAACCAAAGCTCCCTGTATTGTCTTATGTTGATTAGTTCCTCAGATCAGCTTGGATTTAGGATATTTGTTAGTCTCAAATATTTTTAACGGCCTATTTGGTTATTCAGGAATGTAATTATACTTTGTTCTCCAAATATTTTGATCTCATTTTCACTTTAAAACTGGAATGCTTCATCATCCTCCCTTGAAAAAGAATGTTAGTTTGATAACCTTGACCCGCGTGTACTTTAGAATATAACTTTTTTCCATGAGAATTTGCAGATATTCGCCCTGAGCCATTTAAATGAATGTGAGAAACTGGAAGATGAAATGAATGAGTTTGTATCTCAGGACTTTTGCTATAACCCCAAATATATCACTAGCCACCAGTTCCATTTTCAAGCTTCAATGCAACTCTTCTGGGCAAGGGATTTTATTTAAGTCTTTCTTTTTTCCCTCTGAAAGCTTTTCTAATATAAGATTGGAGATTGAAGTAGAGCAGTGGCCTTCACTGCTTTTTTTGCTTCCCAACCATGAGCATCCGCACAGGAGATTAAGGAATGAACTGGAAGGAAGCCGGCCTGCAGCCTTCCCATTCTTCTCACCTCCCCTGCCTTTCTCTATATTTCTTTTACCTCCATTCAGCTTTGAAGGTGAAATGAGGATAGCAGGAGGGCAGGTGGTATTTCCCGGATGAAAGTGAGTCAAATGAGGGCAGAACCCAGAAGACAATGATGTATTGTTCTGTGTTTCCTACAGTTAAATTGCTTTTCAGGATTTCTGTGTTATAAGAATGCATGGATTTTTAGAAAATATACTTGTTATATAATCTAATCCTCATTCCAACCCCGAAAGCCAGATGTATGGCAAACTTTTAGCTCTTCTTGCTTTTCTGCCTCAGCCCATAAAATACGAACTTTTGACCTCTCAGAATTCTCAGAAGGTTGGGAAAGCAGTGTAAGTCCTTCCTTCTATCTCTCACTGATTTCTCTCCATGGGAGAAGAGTGTTCTGACCAATTTGTGGTCAGACTAGAGCCTGATGTCTATTGGTCTGGGTTTTTCCATTGTATTGAGTTTACATGTTTAGAGTTTAGTACAAAAGTAGCCTCAGAACCTTTGGCTTCTAACTTCTCTCTGACTGGCTCTGGGGACTCAGTGTACTCAATAACGGAGGGCTTGTCATGGTTCTCCGTGCTACTGGCTCAGTTAGCGTCTGCACAGCAGTCCAACGTCTCACCCCAAATGTTCGTAAAGTCTAGGATTTTTAGCAACTTCAAACCCCAACAAAAGATTTTATTATTTCCATGTTCAGATGTGGAAAATGTCCCAGAGAATTGAATAACTTGTCCAAAGCCATACAGTTGGTGAGTGGAAGAATGAAAGTTTGAACTCAGGTATACTTGGCTTCAAGCACACACGTTTTTATTCCTACTGTCCCATACTTAACACAGACCCTATAGTTCCTGGGCTAATACTGTGTTGGGAAGCTCCAGCAGACACTTTTCTGATCTTATAGGACAACCTGTTTTTATACCTGGGTGTGGAGATAGGAGAGAAGGCAGTGGCCAGAATACCTGAGTTCTATTTTTGCCTTCTATCTATGCCTAAATTTGGAGAAAGCTAGGATATCATTCATGTCTGGAAGGCTTGTCACATAAATCTTCTAGAAATCCCAAAGAATTTAGCACTTATCTATACCTTCCTGACCTGTATTGACTGTCCATCCAAATGTAATAGGTCCTACCCAATATCTGTTCTAGAAGGTATGCTGTTTAACTGGCTACATAAATGAGAAAATCCAGACTATCAGTTGCTTTGCATAAAAAAGCATATTTCACTAATAAATAAATAAAGTCTTGGAGGTAGATGGTCTAGGGCGGGTATGGTCATTCCATTCCCTCATCTTCAAGACCCAAATTCTTTCTGTCTTCTCTGCCATCTTTCCCATGTCTCTTAGCCATCCAGATTGCCTACTGGAGCTCCAGCTATTATGTCTATACTATAGGCAGCAGGAAAGAAGAAGGGAGGGAGGGTAAAGGAATTTTCTTAAATGCTCCACCAACAACTTCTGCTTATAGCCCTTTGACACCAAGCCCCCAGGGAAACAACACTTTTGCTGGGCATTCTATAACCCAGAATAAAAAGCAGCATTCTATTAGTAAGGAAGAAAGGTAGAATGGATATTGGCAGGTAACTTACAGTTTCTACCACACCTGCACACACACACACACACACTCACACACACACGTGGTTGCCATGTTGTACATCTCCAGGTGCCATTCACACTGTATTCTATGAGTGCAGAAATTTAAATATTAGCTATATTCACCTGGTAGAGGTACCTTTCCTGAAGGAGTTTATTTAAATTACACCTTTATACATTCAACATCAGAATTAGTGAAGAATGGAAGAATTTTTCTAAAATGGTTAATTTAAAATTTAAAATACACATATGAAACAAGCAGAGATACTCATCAGATAGAACTTTAGTATGTTTCTGGAGTTATTTGCTGTTCCTCTATCACTAGGAAATTGGAGAGGCAGATAGAGTTCTGCGTCTCACTATCAAAATTTTTCCCAGTCCCTCATGGGCAGCAAGTGAGGCTCAAGTCTCTTCTCTTGCTGCCTTGCTAAATTTTTGTTATTTAATCATTTATATGTGCCTATTTACCTGTGTATCACACACCTGTGTTACATAGCCATTAGGAAAATCCTGAGAAAAATAAGTCACATCTTAAAGTCATACTTCTTTGAAGGCCAACAGCCACCCTGACCCACAGATGCACCCCCCCTCAAAAGGAACTACCCCTTCAGAGAGGCAAGAGATCTCTCCTCTGGGTATGAGGCTTGAAAGATGAGTCTGGTGATGTGTGTTGCCGTGGATTGTAAGGACAGCCAGTCTAAGAGAATGGAGTCAATAAAGGAGATGTGAAAAAGGGAGAAGGCCCTGAGGATGTACAAGTCATCCTCTGCTGTTCCTTCAATGAGCTCATATTTTCCTTAAGCGAATATGAGTTGGCTTTTTGTTACTTGGATCTAGAGACCTGATTAATATAGCCTGGACTATCATCATGCTGTTCTACTGTGACATCACATTCTTATATTTCTGGATGCAAAGCTCTCTCTCTCTAAAGGTCATTAGCTGGATTGGATTTAGTTTGGGGTTTCGTGCCCCAAATCTCACAAATTTCTGAGTGGTTGAGACCACCTTGAGAAGTACCTCCATGCAGCATGAGCCCCAGAAGGGATCACCATAGAGAACGGGTCTTTTCTATCTCCATCTTGAGATGGGAAATGTCAATCTACCTTCAGAGGTAAAGCCTAGAGTCAGATATGGGAAGAGCCTTCTGTCATGGAAGGCTGGTTATGTGACTCAGACTAGGCTTATAAGATCACAGGTATGATATAGAAATGAGTGCTGGAATGCATTCAGGGTATTTTCACTCTTCTGGGAGAAGACTTTTTCAACCCAAAGCATAGCAATGAGAAGTATAACCAAATTTGAAAATACAGGCCCCTTTCTTAACACTAATGAGTTTCTTGAGCCTTAAGCAGCAAGACCTCATCTCTCAGTGTGTGGGAAGGGTACATACACTTTGCTCAGGTATTATATCAAGGAAGTGATAAAAGTCACAAGTAAACTGGATCTCCTTCTAAAAACACAGCAAGTTCCAGCATCTTCCCTCACTGATGCTATTTTTACTAAAAAGTTGTGTTATTTTATGGCTTGTGTTTCATCCCCTTTTATATGATCCTCCTTACCTCACAGCCAGTTGCTAATAAGAAATAAAATGAGCAGAGGCAGACAACAGGGAAGAGAAGCAAATGGCATGGATAACCTCAAACGACACAGACTTTCCC